CTGACACCAATAGTATGAAGGTGGTCGTGGTAAGGAGCGTTGATCAAGAGGGAAGACAGATAAGTCAGGCATAAAACTTATAGCCCAACACAGCGAGAGAAGCGCTCGCGTAGCAGAGCCACGGCGGCGTCCGCCTGCAATCCGACTTCAATGATACGTTTTTGTGACAATTGATGGTGACTAGTGGGCAGCGGTTATTACACGATAGATAAAACCATTTCTTTCTAAAGTGCTGCGAGTTATGAAACTTTCCGTCCACTGCAATTGCTTCCCCTTTAACCCTACTCTCTCTGTGCACCTTTGCTCATCTTCCTCTCATCCTCTGGAACCAATTTACGAATTTTACTGTAGCCCCGCCCTAATCGGTTTGTGTATATCTGCCCTTCCTTACCCGCTGATCCGTTGCTCAACGTAATCCATATTTTCCCGGCCTCTGGCTGCCCTGGAACTAATTTGTGAACTTTTGACCTCGACCTCGCCCTTTCCAAGAACGCCTAGCCCTTTTCGGGTGCGTCTCTTCTGTTCCGTCCGTCGACCACTTGCTGTTCAGTCGTGAAGGGTAGATGGCAGTAGAATAGACAGAGAATATTTATTAGGGATAACACATAACTAACCAAAAGGCGAGTTTATATACTCACTTGAGATCATTAATCAGGCGCGAAAAGTACTACTCAATGCGGTAGGTAATGATCAAAAGTTATGGTGATGGTGGGTCAGTAGATCATTCCGGTACCTAACACCTCCCCTTTTTTGAACATGGAAACTAAGGTTCAACTGATATCACGAACATGGTAAGTCTTCTTGTGGGGGTCCACCTGGAGCCGTGTTGGAGTACTTCGCGTGCGTGTTGATCGTCGTGTGCGGTCCTCGTTTGTCGCTGCTGTCGTGTCGTCTCCTGGCGGTACTAGACTTGTAGTCGGCATTGAAGTTGACGATTGCAGGTCAGACATCTCGAGCAGTGTTTCCACATCCTTGCCGCTGTGCTGTGGTGGTACTCGTGATGTCGGCGGAGCTGATTGGCATGTCGGACACAGATTTTGCCTCCAATTAAGACCTTGTAGAGCTTTTTTCCTATTCGTTGAAGCACTTTTCCACCATGACATTCCGACTGATTTCCGCTTTAAGTTCGCGCGTACACGGGATCGCCTTTGCCGAACGAACGTCTCCGGGTGCCATGTTGCTTGTAGAATTCTAGCTTCACTAGTGTGTTACGAGTTGGCCTTCGTAGTAGAGTCGGCTTGAGCAGCAAGAGAACAGTTCGCAACTTTCTTCCAATGGCGAGTTCAGCCGGCGAATTCATTCCGTCCAGTGTCGGTTTGGCTTGATCGATACATTGGAAGGATAGTGTGTAGGGTTTCGGGTATCGTTCCTTCTCTTTCAGCTTCGACAGGGTTGAAAGTATCGACAAATCATTCTACCTTTCCGTTGTGGGCGGTATGGGGGAGACAAAAGGTGTCGTATTCGTGATTACTGCAAAATCTCTAGAAAGTGTCCGAGGATAATTGTGTTCCAATGTCGGATACGAGCGTTTCTAGTACACCATATCTCGCGAATGTCTATTGCAGGAGCAAAATCGCAGCTTCTGTCGTCGTGCGATTAGTGCTAAGATTTCCGGCCCCTTTGAATGCGCGTCTGCCATTAAGGAAGTACGTTCCTGCGAATGGTCCAGCGTAGTCGACGTGAATACGAGTCCATGGCACGTCTGGTTGAGGTCATGCGGTGAGCGTTGTCTTCACTGGGAGTTTGGCAACTGAAGAGTATTTAGTGCAGCGGCAGCTTCGATGTCTTTGTCTATTCTTGGCCAATAGACGTAGCTCCTTGCTAAGGCTTTCATTCGTACTATGCCAGGGTGTCCATTGTGCAGATGTCGCAGTACTCGCGGCTGGAGCGTAGCTGGAATTACCATTTGATCGGCAAGCAGTAGGCATCTGTCAAGCGTTGAGAGTGCATCACGACGATTGTGGAAGCAGTGCAAGTCCGGATTAGTTATTCTTGCGGGCCAAGTTCCTCTGATGTAGCTGTTATCTTGCTGGAGGATGCAATCCTTTGCTTTAAAATCCTTGATATCTTCTACTCGTACTGCGTAGACAAATTCGTGTGTGATGTCATTATCCACAGATACCGCGGCGATTATAGTATCTTCTTCTAGAGCGGAGTGGTTTGCGATGAGTCGTGAGAATGCATCCGCTTGTCCAAAGCTTCTGGTTCACCGGTATTGGATAATGGGGTCGTACGCCAGGAGTGATGTTGCCCATCTTTGTAGCAGGTTGGCGGTGTATACTGAAATGCCTTTCTTCGAGCGGAATATAGTGGGTCGGCTTATGGTCCGTTAAAATAGTGAAATGTCGTCCATGAAGCATCCTGTGGAACTTCTGAACGGCGAATACAAGCATAACTCCTTCCTTTTCAACTTGGCCAAAGTTTTTCTCGGCTGGAAGTAGTGAGCGAGAAGCATGAGCAACTGCTGTTTCTGATCCGTTGTTATAGATTACTGCGCCCAAGCAATGATTCCAAGCATCGGCTGCCACGATGATTTCCTGACTTGGGTCGTAATGGGCGAGAAGAAGATCTGATGAGAGTATCGCCTTCGCTCGATTGAAGCTGTCGTCGCACGCTTTGGTCCAGTTGGATTTGGCATTCTTCGCCAAGAGAGAGTCTAACGGAGCGAAGGCCTCTAATTTCTCTGAGGAACTGCCATAGTAGCTCAGAAGTCACAGGATCGATCGGTGTGGGTGATGTCTCTTGGAATTGGCATTTTTGTGATGGCGTCTGTTTTTTTCCGATCTGGGCGTCGACCCTGTTTATCGATGATGTATCCGAGGTAGTTGATACGAGTCGTTGCGAAGTGGCATTTTTCAAGCGCACGTGGAACCCACTTTCTGCGAGTCTCTTGAAGACGGTGTAAAGGTTCTTCTGGTGCTCCTACTGCGTGCGTCTCATGACGATAACATCATTCAAATAGGCTGACTCTGCGGACCAGCCAATGTTCTATTGATGATCTGTCGGAAAATCGCTGGAGCCGATTCGACGCCAAAAGGTAACCTATTGTATTGATACAATCCTCGGCGTGTATTTATCGTGTGCGATTGCTTAGACACCTGGTCCACTTTGATCGGCTGCTAGCTCCTCTTCTGGTTCCGCGGAATCCTTCCCTGTGACCGATCTTGAGACATGCGGAGCATTTGTGTCGTCGATGTGCAGTTCGTGACGAAGTGCATCGCTCCGCATAGCTAGCATGGAGATGGAGGGGACTTCGGGGAGAATGAGGAGCGGTTCTCGGTTTTATCGCGGGCCGTTTCAGGGTGTTTAGCCAATTGAGGCTGGTGATCTGTTCGTCCTGCTGGTCCATGTCTGAACGCATGCACTTTTGATGATCCATCCTCGACCATTTTTGTGTCCTGCTCAAGATTTGTTAGCCGCTTGCATTCCTCCGTGAGATACTGAACTGTGCACTTCAAATCGGCTTCGATTTTGTCCACCAGCTTGAGTCTTATAAAGGCGTCGTCGCTCGATTGTAATCCGCCTACGAAAACGAGACACTTGAACTGGTTGTCGCCACACTCGGATAGCTTGAACTTGGCACACTTGCGGTTGACCCGTCCAGCAAAGGTGGTGGTCTTCGCTAGGATTTTTAGCTAGCTTCATGGTGTAGCGGCGGCTGAATAGTGATTCTTGTGGTCCAAAAAGGTCGGTCAGTGTCGACACAACTTCACCGAAGGTGACAAGGTGACATCTCGTGGCGCCTTCGGCAGGATGTATTAGCTTGAATACTTCTCGTAGGGCGCTAGCATCCAATTTGTGCAGAAGAAGTCGGACGAGAGTTGGATCATCGAGCGCTGGGCATCTACTTAGAAGATATCCTCGTATCTGTGGAACAGTGCTTTGAACGTGAGGTCCGCTTCCGTGTCGTGGAAGAATTGCGCGATTCGTCCTGCCAGCACGTCGAAGGTCCTCGTTGCTTCTGCCATTGGTGACGTTGACTGCTGCGGCTGCTGATGTGCGAGTCCCTTGACGGCGTCCTTGAGTGCATTGAGGAGCCGCTGGAACTACTTGTCCGTCATTGTCACCATTGGGATCCTGATCGTCATTGCTGATTCGAGGAAGTTAGATGGCAGTAGAATAGGCATATTTATTGGGAATAATACATAGCTAGATAAAAACGGTTTATATACTCACTTGAGATCATTAATTAGGCGCGAAAGGTACTACCTAATACGGGAGGTAACCATCAAAAGTTATGCTAATGGTGGGTCACTAGATCACTTAGATATCTAACACTTGCACACCTTGCTCCACTTTTTTTGCTATCTGTGGGCTGGTCTAGAACTGGGTTATGACCTTCCCTGCAATGCCATTCACTTTTATGACCAACTAAGGGCAGGATTCAGTATATGTCATGCTTGCTCTGCAAACTAAAAAAATGCGACACTAGTTACCCTCTACTGCCCCAAATATCCAGAATTGAGCCAATTTTTGATTGACTTTTCTCTTCGTGGGCAGATTTGGCTCAAATGTTGTCTACTGAAGTAGGCTGACCTCCTGAATACGAATATCACATTCGCTTAGCCCAGAACTTCCTGGCGCCCGCGCCACAGGGGCAGGTGGTTCGATGTATTTTGGCGACAGCGCCTGTAGCGCGGGCGCCAGGAGGTTTCGGGTCGAGCGGGTGTGATATTCGTGTTCAGGACGTCAGATCACCCCTGGGAACTTTGCAGCGAATTTGGTGGTTCAGGGTATTTTGACGGAGGTTTCGTACCAAGCAGATATGATATTCATGTTCATAAGGTCTAACCATCCCAGGGAACAAATTTCAGCTAATTCTGCCAACGCAGGAAAAAGTCGGTCAGAAACTGGCCTGTTTTCTGAAGATTGTCGCAGTAAAGGGTAAATAGTGCCGGAGCCTATATTAGAAATACCTTGTCTACGCCCTGCAAGATTTAATTAGGTCAGGTTTGGGTTGCATCTCACTGTATATTTCGTTGAAATTACATTGTTTTTAGCGTCAGAAGAAGGAAAAGAAGGATGAGAAGGGAACAGAGTGTTCAGAAAGGAGAAGAAAGCAAAAAGAGCAGGAAGATCCAGCAGAAGCTTCCGATAGAAGGAAGAAGAAGAAAGATGACGCTGAGAAGGGCGCTGACGCTTCAGAGCGGCGGAAAAAGAAGAAAGAAGACGCGGAGAAGGGTGCGGATGCGTCGGAGCGACGGAGAAAACAAAAAGATGACAAAAACAATAGCGAACTTTCAGAAAGAAGAAGAAAACAAAAAGAAAAGGATAAATTGGATAGTTCAGAAAAGCGAAAGGTACGCTAGGTCTGATGAGCCGGCGATTGCTTCATGTTTTGCTGAAAGTTATCATTGTTTAGAAGGAAAAAAAGTCTTCTGAAGGGCTCTCAAGTGTAAGTGCTTAGTGTTCTTCGAAATGCTTAGTGTTCTTCGAAAGGGAACATTTTTTCTGAGAAGTTTAAACATATCATCCAATCTGTCATTTACAGGAGTCGAAAAATAAGCCAATGTCTCCAGAAACTTCAGAACGAAGAAAGAGGAAATGTGAGTCACATTCTCATTCAGAGCAGTTCCCATACTCTCATATGCCGAAGCCGATTTTTATTCATGAAAAAATCACGGCAGGGTGAAAAGACTGCCACGGATAATCGTCTTCGGAAGGGTGTCAAACTAAATAAAAATCGGGAAAGCCCAATCGAGATTTCAACTCTGCTTTAAAAAACTGGGTCGTCGAGAGTGAGACGGGTTCAGGCCAATATCTGACAGTTTAACATTTTCCCCTTATGGGCGTACACCCTGACTAATGCTGAAGGTTATAATAGTCCGTCGGAAAGCGATAATTTTTGCTTTTTCTAGGAACGACCACAATACTACCACCTATGGGCTGTGGTCGCTTCTACTAGGATACGGTTATCTAGTTCTGCATCTGAAAGCCGACGCCTGCGGCTCCTTACTGTCTCCGAGGAAATTGGAAATTGAAATAACTACTGATGAAATTGAGGGAGTAACTATAAGAGCTACTCCCTCATGGTTAAGCCACTCTTATTACCCAGGAAGGCATAAATGGACAAGAAGTGTAGGGTAAAGATGCCCAGCAGGGAAGAATATTGTGCCCCTAAGTAGGCGCTGCGTCCCCTTATACCGCCTTGCGCCATGCAACGAGTAAATAGTGCTCTTCATATCTTCAAGGTAAATAGGCGAATTCTGGGGCCGTATGCTACAGTTCCCCCGAAGGCTCTGAGGAGTAGGCCGGGCCCCGACATCAGAGGGAGAGCTCCTCCAACCGCAACACACACAAACACACACACACAACACACCACACACACACACACACACACAACGACACACACACAGCACACACAGCACACAACAACACACACACACACATCACACACATCACAACACAACCACACAATCCCACACCCACACACACACATCACACACACCACACTACACCCAGCACACACACACACAGCACACACCACAACACACCACACACCACACACACACACACACACACAACAATCACACAACACACCGACAGGCAGAAACAACACGCAGCACACACAAGCAACTTTCTTCTGGTTTATATATAGAGAGATAGGAAGTGCTTGGTAGACTGTCCTGACATTGCCCTTTGGGCGGTGAGTGGTATGTCGGATTCGGAAAATTAGTGATTGGACTGAAATGGGAATATGAATTTGCTGAGACTTTTGTGCAGTAAATAACAGGCAAATAATAAATAAGTAAACAAATTTTTGTAAAAATCCTTGATTTTGGTCCCCATCCGCTGAGGCACATGTGTCTATGCCACTTTTATGTGCCTCGGAATCGAATTATGAACTATCGGAGGGAGGGGATGAGGGGGGATCTTAATCGTTTGGTACACCACATACTGCTTACGGGCATCTCTCTCATTCATCGAGCTACCCGGTGCGCAGTTTCACTCATATTCCCTTTTCGTGATCTGTTCCGGATGCATTTTGAGGATTTTTATTCTCGGCTTCGTCCAGATCGGCGAACGCGCCCCGCCCATTGTGGGCGGAGCTTAGGTGAGCCTTTGTGTGCTCTGCAAATGCTGGCCTATGCCAGGTCTATTCTAAGCACAAACGGGTCTATTGATGTCAATTTCCACGAAACCTCAATTTCATGTAATCAGACGCACACACACACACACACACACACAACACACACGGCACACACACACACACTACACACACACCAGCAACAACTTCTGGTTTATATATAGAGAGATATCCTGCGGCATTACGGTCGTGCCATGTCACGTTTCCAAGAAAGTTTATTGCTTCCCATTCCTGAACCTGCTTTCCTTTCTAGTGGATTTGGAGGTTTTCTTTCATTTCATGAATTTCGATTTTATTTGACTATTTCTTCTCTAATATCTGCGTGATTGAGTGTAGAGCGTTGAGAATTAATACTTGCCCCTCTTACTCGAACTATGTCCTGGGAAATTAATATGACATACGCCCTATGAATTTAGTTTTGTAATCTGCGTCATTCATTCAATAGGACTATCAGCCATAGTAGATGGGGCGCGACTCACCACTTTGCTCCTTCCAAGGGCTCCTCAAATCCTTGAGATCACGTCCTGTTGCTCTGCAGCTTTCAAGTGGGAGTGTTTTGAGTTTTTCAATGTACATAACCTGTTTGGACAATTTATAACGCCTAGCGCTCTCCCACGCGCTCTTTGGAAGCATTCGCCAGTTCCTTGTAACTTCTCACTTTGATAAGACCTGTAATCTCTATCTAAGCTCTATCCGATAATAAATGGAATATTTCATGGCTTCACAAAAGTTAATTGGGCCCCACGGGAAGGCTCTGCGATGGAATCTAGCAGCAAACTGCCCTCACCAAGCCGAAATGCACCGAAGAAGCAGTAGCATCAAAACATAAAAATCAAATATCAAACAAGAACGTTCGAATCTGCTCTGAAGAGGTGAAGTACGCCCAAAATTCCTATCTTGTTGTCCTCATCACGTTGGCAGAATGGGAATACCTCCTATCGCTCTTGAGTAAGCTTCAGAGCTCGCCGCCACAGACCCTACCACTGCTCATCACGCCTTACCTGGGGGCGTCCTACCGCATCGTCAGTAGCAAAGGATTCTAGTAGTCCCCTCCCTTCAGCTCATGCAAGCAGCGTTTGTTCGAGCCGGTACTACTCCAAGCTAAGATAAGTGGGTAGATTACTGCCAAAGTATTGAAAATCCTTCCAAAAATCCTTTAACGAGAATGTCTCTTGGTGCTGATCATACTTCGGACCTTAGAAACTTTGTCCAGCTGACTTCTCTGTTACGCTGTAATGTTACCAGCCACTTTTTCTTATTGCCCATACTGGAAATAGTTGCGCAGCTTGAAAGGAGAGAACGTAGTGATAGAGGCAGGACCACTAACCTAAGAGAGAAGAACGTGGTGTTTCTAATGCTGGTTGGACAGATTTAGCCACCCTTTCTACTAGAGATTCCCTACTTTTGGACCATTTAGACTGAGAAATTGTTTTGTCTAACACTATTTGCAAAGATTCCTAAAATATTAAATAACCAGCCGGGTTGCCGGGCCGACGCCGAGCTATCCTCCTTCTTATTAGCTCGGGTTGGCCGAGCTGGCCTGGCTTCGCCAGGCGAACATCATAACGGAATGGAATTGAGCGCTCCATATTGCGCGCTAGTGTCGAATCATAATAGACAGAGTAACTAACGGAAATCTGCACTGCCCTCATGATTTGCAGAAGGCGTGCTGTTTTGGCCATAAACGCTATTTCTATCGACGTAGATTCTTTTGAAATATATAGGAAGTAGCAGAATATCAAATGTTGGCACAGTAGATAACAAATTCCTTTTTTCATTACCTGCGTCACAAACACCAACGATGGGCGAGTTGAACCTTGTCATGTAATCATGCAATCCACCTTGCTAAGGTTGTATGAATTGCTGCAGATACACAATATTATAGGATCTGCGTTCGTTGAACATGCTTCAACTAAGCCTTCGTTATCGTTCTCATCAGGTGATTCAAAGTTGAAAAGCAAAAAAAAATTTAAATGTCACTGGACGCATAAAGTGGTGCCAATGTTGAAGTTTTTGATTTTTCCAACTTCCTGTTTTTAGGCGAAAGTATATTCCCACCCCCCGCTGGTGGGATGAGTACATATTTTCTAGTGCTATCCGAGGAGTGATGGCTGCAAGAGATTTCGGCCTTACAGAGTGGCTTTTTTTTGGGCAGGTACAGTGGTACCAGAGATTCGTCGAGATGTCCCTTTATCTTTACGCGTATGCAATGTGATAAAATCATGTCCACCGTCATCAATGTTCAACGTAGAACTCCAACAATTTCGTGGTGTAAGCTCCAGCATTTGATTAAGCAAGCTAACATGCAACCGTTGCTCTATCAGGTCATTATGAAGTTATCATTTCCTGTCACCCCGCCGTCGCCTTCCTAACCTACGACTTGCTATCTTCGCTGAATCAACGCCTAACTGATGCTAGTTGCGCCGCGTCATGAATGTCTATCTTTCTAGCTCTAACTGCCCCCTTATCAGCAGCTAGGCAATTCTTGTCACACCCACATATTCCTGTGCTATACGCCATATCTTTCGCTCAAGAACAATGCTCCATATTCCGAGCAGTCGGACTGCCCGGCTTTTGCTTCTTTCGCCCTTAGCACATGCCAAATCGGGCTGAGCAGCGCGAGGGCAAGTGAAACAGAGAGAGGGGGGGGGAACGGGCGTCCCGTCCGCCCGGCTACACCACAACTCTGCCCCGCAGTGAACACAAAAATAATCTCTCACCAGCTGCCACCCGCAGCTCGTGCAATGGCTGCGGAGCGTACGCGAATGGTTGTCTTCATATAGCGAGGCCGTAATCTACGATCAAAACATTGGATTGATAACTTCGCACACATTTGTCCGTTTGCACTAAGCGTCCGTTTTCGCCTCCAGCGAACTCGAACCTGCGAAGCATCAGCTAGGCGACAGAGCATCAGCTAAGCGTTGGCTTTCAGGCAAATGAATATGGAGAGGGAGAGAAGGACGCGACAGGGCTGACGGGAAGTGACAGCTGATATGAGCTGATAATGAACGTGGCAAGTTGTTGTGCAGCTCAAAGTGCTGGAGCATCTACTCTACAAAATTATATAATTTTGGTGATAACACTTGTTGGACCGGTGACAGGCAACCTTATCAGTTGATAAGAAAGAGTAAGGGGACATTCTCACGACATTTATGACCACTAAAACTGCTAAGTAATTGAAGGCTCAGTGGCCAACTTTCCTTTAGCCATCACTTCTCTGATAGCACTAGAAAATAAACTCATCCCACTATCCTACTTTATATAATGTCGACCAGCGGGGACGGGAGTGTGGGGGGAATGTATCTCGCCTGAAACAGCGAAGTCAGGAAAATTTTAAGAATTTTTTTCGATCTTTACTGATGAAACGAATAAGAATATCACCTGTATCACCTGTGCTCCGTTGATCCATCGAGTTCCTCGAGCGGCGTTAGTAACGCTCCATTCGTCCCTGCAGCGTGCAAGAGTTGCCACAATAAAACTCTCTCAGCTCGAGTGACACGTTGAACTTCATACCATTCGTTCAGAGCTTTCACGAAGAAATCTGA